CAATTGTAAATTTTTCGGAAATGAAACTATTTTTCTCGGATATATTTGTTTTTTCAAACAAGCCAACGTTTCGGGTCTATTACAGGTCCCATGGTCACGGTTGACTGATGTGGTCAAGTCATGAACCAGTTATGTCATATGATTTTTTTATTAAATTAAATTTATTATTTAATAAAAATAAAATAATTGTAAAACATATTGTAGTGTAAATTAGAATGTGAATTGTAAACTTTTAAAATAAGGTATTTAATTAATAACTTTTGTAACTACAGTGGAAAATAAGGTGGTTTACATTATTTACACCGTTTTTTTTTTTTTTTAGTCAACCGTGACCATGGGACCTGTAAATGGCACGAAACGTTGGTTTCTTTGAAAAAACAAATATACGCGTTTTAAATCCGGAAAAATAGTTTCATTTCCTATGCGTAACAATCGCGAAAACCTAAGAACTCGATATGTAAATTTTTATTAAAAAAAATTACCTCAAAAGTTTGTGGCATTTCTATTTGCCAAGATTTATATATAAAACAAAATAAACTACGTAAATATTTATGTAATGTAGTACATTGGCGATTATTACAATTGCGATTTGTAGGCAATTAATTGCGTCGATGCAAACGCGACTGACTGATGCGAAACGACTGTTGTATCGATGAAGTCGCGCGCTTGCAACGCTGCTAAACGTCGTATGACGTTAAGAACCATGGGGTGGTTATTAAAGATGACGTTAAGAATCATTTGTGGGACAAATATCCCAAGTAGTAAATTTAAATATCTTGGTGAAAGCTAGTAAATGGCCAGGTCTTAGAATAATAACGCATAGAAACGTAGTCCGCACACGCTAAGTGAGGCAAATTGAAGCGCGTCAAAAGGGCCTACACGAGCGGGCGGGCCTTCAGTGCTCAAGGTCAACTTGCACCGCGAACAGATCAAGAATTTTAGCTAAAAATGACGAAATGAGTGTAAAAATACGTCAGACAAACATAAAATAAATACTAACATCACATTCCACAAGGAAGTAACGCGTTTCAACTTGTATTCTTATATAAATATTCACTAAAACCGAAAATTAACCTACTACTAAAACTAGCCTACATGAATTTGGTTTTTGCCTCACTTGTGACAGTTCGTTTGATATGAAACTATCATTCTATGCGTTATTGTTCTAAGGGCCAAGTCATGAAGCCCAAAAGTCTAAACTCAAGATTAATAAATGAGAGTAGATGTATAACGTCAGGCACGGTATGCTAGAAGACGTCGGTTCGAATCCGGCCGGATCGAAGGAATTTTTTCTGAGTGTATCGATCGTTGTATTAACAATTATAATAAAATAGTGGAGTCATTTCACAAAAAAATATTGAATATCAATACAATAAAAAATATAAATGATAAAATAATAATTCAAAGTTTAACAAACGTGCCGTCATAATTACACTACTTGCATGTCGCTTCTGGTTTTGCCCGTTTCTATGTATCTCTGATAATTTTGTACAACAGCATTCATGTTAGTGATAAAACGAACTAACTCACATTTAAATAAACAACTACCCACTTATTGTACAAGAATTTTAATACTTAATCTTTATCGTTCGATAATTCAACTGTTTATATTTGTTATTGTTTCTCATGTTAAGTGAATGGAAATTTTGACTGAGATTGTGACTGCCTCGAGACTGCAGAAGACCGATTAGGTGTAAAAACTTGAAAGAGCCTACACCCTTACTATTATTCGTACGATTATGTCACACCCATACAAGTCCAGTTTGCTACAAATTCTAACGCTCGAGTGGTTTGATTTCAAAGCAGCCATTATGATTACTCTTGATGGACCAGCTGTAGTGCGTTTGGCAGACCATTAATTACAATCAAATCTGACGACTGGTTGCAGTGTAAGTAACAAGATGGCGACTTCTTTGTTCAAGACTTGAAATCTGATTCATTAGCAACCTTTAAGCGTGAAACACACAGAGTGCGGGACCACGGCGGGTGTAATTCCTTTGGCGACTATGGCGCTGGTTTTCAATGAGCCCTGAGCTGAGATGAGTGAAGGGCGTGTATGTATATGAAGGTAGTCTACACCACAGGCGAGTAAAGTAAGCCCAGAATAGTAGGTAAAGATAAGGTTAGAATGTTATAGGCGAAAGAAGTCCGTGGGAGATATTATTATTCCTGCTGGATTAGCAATTTTAAACAGATAACTACAATCAGATTCAGACGTTAACTAAAGTAACGGATAACTCGCGTATTTAAACGAATGTTTCAAATCGGACCGTGGTCCGTAGTCATGAGTTTCCGTGGCGGTGACTCGACGAAAACGGAGCGCTAATGCCCTGACAGCTGTTTTCCAACTGGGGTATAGTAACAGTGTTGGATATTACATCAGTGGTTAGTGTGGATGGGACTTTAGAACGTGTTGTGGTTAGTGTAGCAATCCTACATATGACTTTAATAAGAATGAAGCTAACGAGGGTCCGTACTGACAGACCGGGGTTTTAGAACAGATGTAAATAATTAGATACAACAACAAAGTTGTATAATAAATGAACAATTGAATTTTGCATCATCGCCTTTATTCAGGTATTTTCGAGTTTCAACAATGGCAACACTGGGGGTAGCGGGGTATAAATATACCAACCGGTTTGAACGAGCTCATTCTTCGGCCGAGGGTCGAGCAATCAACAACCCCTGAAGATGCCTCGCAGAGAGGCGAAACACGTGTCGAGTGTATTTTTGGTGGTGGTTTGTGACCGTAGTTGCGCTTGTGTTATTTATTTTATGCGGAGGCGGTCAAATTAACTGCATGAAAAAAATATTCAACACAAGCGCAGCTATTTTGCACGATTTAACCTTCACTGGGTTCGAGGAATAGTAAATTAATTTATTTCCATTTTTATTGACCGGGTTGTCAGGACTTTGGCTTTTAGATTAAAGATTAACTAGTTCGAATCGTGAAGAGCAAAATTTCGACTAAATACGTGAGTTAATTTAGTCAATAAATCCTTGTTTGGTTTTCTATGAAGTGGTTGTAACCGGATCGCTGTCCGGATATCACATATACCGCAACAAACAGGCAGGAATTAACCGCTAAGTTAGGCTAACTGTTGGCGCTGATTCGTCGCTAGATTATCGCTTGCTGTTGATGTCACATTAAACTCGATGTGCTTTCATGAATTTGGAAATTGTGGTACTGTTTTATGACGCTGTGGTTACTTTTGATTGGTAGATATTTAAACCGTTGGGTGGAAATTTTTAATTTCGATCTTGTAATGGTTGATTGCATTTGGTAAAAATATGTTGTACCAAATAGGTCCTTAATCAGCACGTGTTGTGGTATTTTTAATTATCACGAAACCTATTAACAGAGCGTCAACAACACACTCACTAAAGCGCCAACTTATCGATATGTGCATCCTATGATAGGGACGCAGACAAATTGGCTACGGAACGTTATTTCCTGGGCTTTAAATGTATTAACTGAGTATGCAATACAATGCCTCGATGATTGGCATTTCCGATGTATGGAGCACAACAGCCAGGTTCAAATGAGATGGGCGGGCCATCTTGACCCAAAAATGGGCGACAGTCCTCACTCCTTGGGTACCCGAAGACGGAAGGCGACGGCGGGGCCGACTAAAAACGCATTGGCATGACGATTTCGGAGGGTTTTCTGTGGGGAAGGAGTAGTCAGAAAGGCAGTGACGGATTTTGGGAGAGACCTATGCCCAGTCGTAGAAAAAAAAATAGTTGTAAAAGTTATTCCGCAGGAATGTATTGATTACTCATATGGTGGTTTTGTGGTACCAAAACTTGCCACATGGACCATAATTGCAAATGTAGGTGATGGGTTTTTTCTTATCACGGGATAATTGACCGGGTACAAAAACCTGAGTCTGCAAACTTGGTCAGTTACATTTTTCAACTTTGCAATGAACACCTACATAAAGAAATTGTGTGCATTCTGAAAGGCGTAGAACTAAAGATGATTGTTCTAGTAAGCGGCTCATTTTACTTTTAATCTTGGATCAAAATTACTTTGTTGATTTTAATTACGTTAAAGTATATAAATAAATTTTACAACATCACATCCGTTGTTCTGATCCCAAAGTATGGAAAACGGAAACAAAGACGGTACCACAAACACCCAGACCCGAGACAATATAGGAAAGTTAGGTTTTCTATACTGACCCGGCCGGGAATCGAACCCGGGATCTCAGAGATGGATACCACGGAGGTTGGCGAAAGGGGTTTATGACGCAGCTTCCTAGTACATGAACCAGTTTGCCTTCGCAATTATTATTCTACCACTGCCACACTAATGGTCAAGAATACAGTAAAAATTGAACACTTACATACTCGTACCTACATACTCTGTATTCTAAAAACGACAATGATTAATATACGATTCAAATTCTTACAAATTTAAGAACAACACATAAGGTTCAAACTATAAGAAACCTGTCTGGCTGGATGGCTTGTCAAATAGGTATTGTAAGCATTTTTGTTAGAAACTCTGTAACAAATTGAAATCTGCCCAAAGTTGTTATAAAGTTGTTATAAGGAGGTAAGTATTCCATATTTGGAATAAGGTATATTTAAAGCAACACCGAGCAACAGCCAATGACATAATCGACTTCCTAACCAAGAAACCCTATTACGCAGTTTTTCAGCATGCATTTGCGTCACAAGCGCCATGTACAGGTAATAAGTAAGAGGCATGCTTAAGGCAACGTGAGTTGGGCATACCGAGAATCTGATTCAGAAAGAAATTAGGTGAAACGTAATCTCGACACTGCGTAACCAAAATAGAGATGCAAATACAGTTACGAGTACTCGTAAACAAACAGTTTCAACAAAGCAGATTTGCACACTTGTAACTGAAAGTTTGTTTATTTTCGTTATTCTTCATTGACGTAAAATAAGTAATTATTTAATAAACGACACAGAAACTGTAACACCTATAAACTAACAGAAATACTTCAAATTTTTCAAACAAAACTCACCTGTGGCAGATGCCTAGTTCGCCGCAGCGGCTGCCTTTCCTTCCTCTCCGATAAGCACTTTCCGTTAGGCACCTGTATCTCTTCCCTCGTAACTTTGCTAGCTCGCTCCATCGGCCTCGAAATCGGGATATTATGCTTTTCAAAATATCCGTTTTGTATCATCTGATCTAATGACACTTCCAGCTCTCTAACAGGCACCACCTTTTTACCGCAAATAGGATCGTCAACAACCATTTTTCTATTACAACCTGACACTTCAGAAAATTTCACATTTTTTTTCGGTTCCTCAGTTTTTTTTGTTTTAGGTTTTTCCGGAAAGTCTGTTGTCCAATAGCGAGCGTTCTTTTCTGTTAAACGTAATGGTTTACAAACGGCTACGTTTTTCGGTTGATTCTTTGGTAATTTTGAATTTAAGCTTGAATTCTTAGCGTCTAACATTGGTCGGCGTTCGAATTCATTGTTGCTATTCATTACACCCGGGATTGGTTTACGATTGTATTCCGGCTTCAAATCGTTTGGGATTGGTCGACGTTCGTAATTTTTTCGTTCTATATTTCCAAGTTCAAAAGATTCTCGCCTACGCCTTTCGTTTTCGATTCTAAAATCATAGTAATCCTTTTTGTATTTACGCCCTCTATTTTCATAAGAATAATAGTTTCTTGGTAACGAATTGTATTTAGAATCATAAGTTGTTGGAAGATTCAAATACTCTGGTCTTATTGGTCGAAAGAGAGATAACTTTCCTTGATTTTCATCGAAATCTGAATAGATATCTTCATACACATATCCGTTCCTTCTTTTAGGTCTTTCATATTCATTTCTTCTGTCTCTCCTTTCGTATCTTACGTACCTATCTCTATCCCGCTCTCTCTCACGATAGTCGTAACGTCTTCTTGGTTCATATTCGTATTCATATTCAGGTCTTCGTTCGTAGAGGAGTCGTTCCCGAGACCCGGCCATCTTTTTATTAGATTTTTCCCGCCTGAAACGAAAAAAATCGTATATTAATGAGAGCTTCGTCGATTTGGCTCTATTGAAGGGATCGTGGAATCGTGTCAGGTCCCACAAGTTTTATGCTCATGACTATAGATTATATTCCATTCAAGACGCAGTAGCTTGAAAAGAATTTTACGCGTCAAGGGTAACGATTTTTCGGGAGTTTCGCTGCGCAGGAATAAGTTTTTGCTCTTTTATTTTACGATTGCAATAGAAGTTTGTTAGCTAGTTTAGTTTGAGTTCAGTTTTAACTGGAAGTCTTAGGCATTAATGCAATAAAGAACATTTTCAAATTCAAGACGTGAGACACTAAAATGAATTTTTGGCATGACGTTTGAGACTTGATTCTTTTCAAGGAACAATAATTTGCACTTGCGTTGAATCTAAATGAAGTCTATTTGTTTTGTTACAGGTGATGTAGTAAGAAAACATCTGTGTATACATTTACATATTTAGAACCATAGATATTCATCATTATTTCAATGTAGTAATCACAGGCGTTGGTGGTGTAATGGTTAGCATAGTTGCCTTCCAAGCAGTTGATCCGAGTTCGATTCTCGGCCAACGCATTGTTTTATGAGACCATTGTCTTAATTAGCCTACTGTAAAATACTTACGGGTGTGAGTCAATCAACACATATATTTATTTACCTATTATAATACATAAAGTTCTTTAAAATGTAGGTTAGTGACAAATATTAATGAAAAAAGAAATATTAGACAATATCACATACTTTGCTCTGCTCCCAAAGTAAGTAACTAACGCACTTGTGTAATGGAAATCGGCAACAACGACGGTACCACAAACACCCAGATTTGAGACAATATAGAAAAGTTATATAGAAACGTAGTCGCAGTAGAGCTCCTTGTGAAAGAATTCATCCATGGAACTACTTCCAAATTACCTATTTCAACTGCCATGTAAGCATTACTGCGTTCCGGTTTTGAAGGGCACATATCTGAGGGCAAACTTATGTCTCAGGGTGACCAGCGGAGTGGGAGTGCCCTCAGATCTTTGCGATTAAAAGCTCTGAGTGGCACTGCAACTGCTATGGATAGGCGTGTAGCTTACCATCAGGCGCACGACTGTTCATCCCGTTACTTAATATTAAAAAAAAGTTACTTTTTCCACATTGACCCGATCGGGGATCGAAATCTTCAGAGATGGCGTCACCATGAAAATCGGTGCGCAAGTCACTTTAACGGTCATCAGTGGCAGCATACAGGCTGATGAAAACGTAAACATAATCTAACAGGTCTCGACCTGTCCTATTGGAAGATATAGATTATCACGTAAAGGAGAAAACACTGTAGAAAAACTTATTTTGTAATTTGACGATCTCGATGGACCAAAAAATGTGTACACTGTGAGTGCTGAGTTTCTCGATTAGATTTCCGTAAGGGCCAATTTAGGAAATAAACTTTTCTAAATTGGTTCTGGTCTGGGTGTTCCGGTGCCCTGGAGTGAATTCCATTGCTCATAGTTCGCACACTTGTCTTCTCCATCTCTCTATAAGTTACAAAAACATGGCCACTAAACGGATCACGACATAATTTCACCTACTTTCTTTCTAATGTTAGTTCGAGAAGCCGCTCTAAAAATTGTCTCGACTATGTGCACAGCTGGGTGCTAAGCTAACCTTGTTATTTTTTTATTGACCTTTTTGTATCGTTCTGGTGTATGCTTTATACTGATAGTGATGGTGAAGACTTTGGAGGTCCAAACAGTCGACATTACTGCAGAAGACCGCTGTGACGTCATCCATCATCTCATACGACGTAGAGTCGAATACAAGATTAAAGGCTTGTATGGTTATCTGCGATCGAAAACTATAACATTTTGTCCGAACATCGAAAAAATGCTATCCACTTTTATATAATCACCGAAATAACAGCGATTAGTAATCTAGGTACTAAATAAAATTTAAAAAAATCGATGAAGTTTCATTGTAACTTAGAACGTATCTATTCACTTATCTAAGTTGAAGTAAGAGTAAAGACATTTGTAGTAAATCGAAAACGATCCCCCGACTGTATTTCGTTGCATAAATTTACATATGTAATGTAATCACATGTAAAGCTGCATGCGGACGCTTGTACTATTCTGCAGCAGACATCTTATTCATAGTGAAACTCGTTACTTTGATTAATTCAGTGGCGGCAATAGCTCAGTGTAACAAACTTTTGCTGTTCCATAAAAGATCCTATGCAGAGTTCGATTTTGGGAATTGCTGCAATGTTTGGATCCACTAGAACCTTGACAAACTAATGAAACTAATTACAAACAATTCGCTGTTAGAAATTTAAAGTCATAGTTACGTGTAGCCACAGGGACTCGAACCGTCGATCTGTCAATTATTATCGCCAACTGAATAGGGTAACTCCCTCCCTCAAGTGACCTCTAATTTCCTCTTGCAGCCACCCTGTGACGGTGCAGACCTCCTTCATCGTGATCCCATCTTTTTACCGGTTCCTGGTTACGTTTAAAATTTTATATCGTCCACAAATTTCTTTTCCATACACTATTCTTAAGTTGGTTCATTCCTTCATCACTCCTATCAAAATTCTCTGAAGTAAAGAGGATGTGCTTATTTTATCATCAAGTAAAACATAATTTCATGCAATTTTCAAAAAATTGGATTATATATATGTATATTAGGCCCTCTTGGGGTAAACTTTATAGTTTGGTACTAGAAGGGAGTATTTTATATTGTTTGTGCCCTTTTATATCATTGTATTATTTCCGTTACAGCCTTTCCCTTTTCTTTTACTCTTATTCTGATTTCTGATTACACCAATTTAAATAGCTATCATTAATTACAGGTTCCTTATGACGATGTGAGTTCTTTTTATTTTCCCCATATTTCGGAATGGTTACACGCTCTGTAGTTACGGGTTGACTAGCCAGGACAGACATATCTGTCTGCCTTCTTTGGTAGCCTATTGGTTTGACCTACTGCTTCTCAAGCAGAGAGTCGTGGGTTCGAATCCGGGCTCGCACCTCTGAGTTTCTCGGAATTTATGTGCGAAATTTATCATGAGCTTTTCGGTGAAGGAAAACATCGACATGAAATCTGCACGTCGAAGAAGGTTCACAACCCTCGAAAAACATGTTAAGTCCCCTACACGCTAAAGGGGTTAAATCAGGGGCTAAATCCTCGTCTGAAAGGAGACCCGTGCTCAGCAGTGGAACATATAAATGGGTTGATGATGATTCAGTGAATAACCACGAAGGTCTAAAATTTGACGCTGATGTAAATGTGTTAGATATGTGATCACTGTCTGCAGACAGTCCGATGGCATCGGTTCCTGGTAAAACTAAATAACACCTGATCACTCTCAATTATAAACAATCTCACTTTCCACTCGACAAATTCAAAATGCGGTGTTGTTAATTATATTCTTCGATAAAGTACACAATACAGTAAAATATTCGTTTCTTATACACTCAAAAATCATCTCCCCATGACATTTCTCTCTTCCGCCTATTTTTGTCAACCCCGATCTACAGAAAAATGTAGGTTTTATAGCAATGTCACAAAAACGCAACCGATAACACAATATCTGGATATTCTAGTATCTTAGTGCATTTTCATTTCGGTAACTTTCGAGATACTGGCACCTAAAGTTTTATGGTCATCTAAAAAAATGAAGACGACGAAGGGGGTTATAGATCTCGCTTCGCTGATCACAGATGTCTTAACCTCAATTTCGCTAAAAATGTCGATTACGTTTGTTACCATCATTAAAGCAGGACAGCAGTTGTACATTTTTTAAACTAGTTATAATAGTTTTTATAACTGACATTTGCTGGATTATTAATCGATTGAAACTAATGTCTCGTTGCAGCTTCCGGTGACTAAATTGCTATGGTTATTTCTGCCAAAGGACAAGTGTAGCTATCCCAAAGACACCCCAAGGCGCGGTTCTCGGTAGAAATTTTCTCCTTTTAAATTTAAATATATTAGGACTAAATTAAATAGCTGGCATAATCAATACGAGCAATGTCAAGTGTACGCATAGCACCGTATGCTTTTCATCTATGTATTCTGTTGGCTAATTAAAATGAACGACGCAATTAAAACAATGCGTTGGCCGAGAATCGAACTCGGATCAACTGCTTGGAAGGCAACTATGCTAACCATTACACCACCAACGCCTGTGGCAGAAGCGTACTTTTTCTGCATCACAATCGATGTATATCATTAATATTGTTTATTCAGTTGTATTGTCAAAAGTGGCTTCGCGAACTATGGAACGAGCTATGCTAACTGAAGGATAAGATTGGAGGTTATTGAACAGAGAACCAAGGTCGTCGACATAGCTGGTAGAATAAGTAAGCTGAAGTGGTAGTGGGCTAGCCATATCTAACGAAGAACCGATAACCAATGGGGGAAACGACTTTCTGAGTGGATAATAAGGCTCGGTAAACATAATGCCGCTACTGATCTGGGGAAATGCAGTCGCAACCCTGACGAAATGTATCAGGGTCATGTTTGCTGTGGGTCAGCGAGAGAGTTGTGTACCTTACAGTTCCCTAAGAAACTGAATATATTAATGTATGTTTACGAAGCCTGTGTTTATGTCAAACAAAATCTAAGCAACTTTAATATAGTTAAAACTAGATATCTTAGAAACACCAAGAATAAAATAGAAATACGGCCCAAACAACGCCCTAATTTGGAATTTTACAATAGAACGATGTTCGTATTAGCACCCAAATTATTTAATAAATTACCAGATGCTGTTAGAGAATTAAATTGTAGACAATTTAGAATGAATTGCATAATTTGTTAGTCACTCAATGCTATTACAATATTGATGGTTTTTACTCGATAAGTTATCGACGATAACATAAAATATAAAATTTAACTGTTGTGTGTGTGTTGTTTCTGACTTCTTATTTTCTAGTTAAATTCCAATTGTGGATGTTTGGTTATGCTATTATATTAATTTAACTTTAA